AGAGAAAATGAAAACTTGTACAAAGTCATGGGGTTATTAAGTCATAGAGGCAGGATTCCAACCCAGGTACCTTGACTGTCTTCCCATCACTGAATCACAGGAGGGCAGTTGGAATCTGGATTCTAAATAAGTAAGTTAGGAAGTGGGGCAGTAAACCTGGGTCTGGATCAGGGAAGAATGTGGCGGCAGAGACCACCAGCTTCCCCTTCCCAGCTTTCGTTCCAGCCACACAAGCTGATCCATTGTTTCATGCTTTTACACAGGCTCCAATTGGAAGCTTTTTCTGATCCCTCCACCCCCTCCCAAGTTGTTAGTATCCCCTCCCTCCTAAGATTACTTTACTTTTACTTATCTGTACATGGTCTATACCTGCTATAGAGTGTAAGATCTATGACAGCAAGTACTGTTTGTTTTTGTATTTGTTTTGTCTTTGTGATCCCCAGCACTGAGCATATCACCTTGCATGTAGTTAATTGTTGTTGTTCAGCTGTGTCCAACTCTTTGTGACCCCATTTGAGGTTTTCTTGGCAAAGATACTAGAGTGATTTGCCATTTTCTTCTCCAGTGCATCTCACAGATGATGGAACTGAGGAAACTGAGGCAAGCAGGATCATATAGCTAGTAAATGTCTGGGGCTGGATTTGATCTCACAAAGATGAGTCTTCTAGACTCTCCGTCCATTGCACCACCTAGCTGTCTTGCATATAGTAGGTCTTGTTAAATATTTGCTGAATTTAATTGCTCTCTACCAGCACCACCACACCCTACACCCAACAGAAATGGCTACAGTTTCTTCATTCTTACTCCCTTAAATCCAACAGCCATCCTGTGGCAACCTATGCACATTATGCTGCATATGACACACTCAAAATCAAATGCTTGGAAACTGAAGGAGACAAATGCATTTACTGATTGTGCTCTTGTAATAGGACCTTGTAATAGGGTGTGGAGCTAGAAGGATCCTTAGATGTCATCTAGTGTGAAATTTCTATGTCTTTAGATCCAGAGATCCTACTTTTAGGTATATACCCCAAGGTGGTCAAAGACAGAAGGAAAGTTCTCGTATACACAGTAAAACAGTCATAACAGCAATTTTTGCTGTGGCCAAGAAGTAGAAACAAAGTAGATGCCCAGCAGTTAGGGAATGGTTAAGCAAATTGTGGCACATGAATGTAATTGATTATTATTGTGCCATAAGAAACAAGGAATGTGAAGAATTCAGAAAAGAATGGGAACATGAACTGATACAAAATGAAGTAAGAAGAACCAGGAAAACAACATACGCAATGACTAACTACAACAAGGTAAAAGGGGGAAAAAAGGACAAAAAAAAAATGGAACCAAATGATAAATAATTAGCCAAGTTTGACCCAAGATCCTGTGGCAGGACAGCCCCTCCAGGACTAACCTTGAAGGTTTTATTGAAGGATGAGAGGGTGGAGAAGAATGCTGGACCCTCCTTTGCATGAAGAAGCTGGAGGAAAGAGGAGCCAGGGCTATTTTGTTTAAGCAAAATCTCAGGCAACTGCTCAAAGTAAAGGCTTAAAAAGCAAGATTGTGTCCAGGGACGAGAATATCCTCATAGAACATGGTCAGCATCCCTTCCTGCCCCAACTCAACACAGATGGGGTGGAATGAACCCCATGGAATCAGATTCCATCAGGAGACCTGGATTCTAGCTAACCAGGATGCAATTTTGAAAAATTAGAAGGGAAGCAGTTAACTGGGAGAAAATGTTTGTGGAAAGCTTCTTTGATAAAGATTTCATTTCTAAGTCATGCAGAAAGTATTTTGAATTTATAAAAACAAAAGTCATTCCCTATGTGAACAGGTAATTTTCAAAGGATGGAATCCAAGCTATCAATAGCCATATGGAAAGGAAAAAATATTCCAAATCACTAATAATTAGAAAAACACAAATTAAGCAACTCTGATTTTCTACTTCATACCTATCAGGTTGACAAAGATGTTAAAAATGGAAAATGACAGACATTGGAGGGGCTACAGGGAAAATAGTCACATGAATGTACTGTTGGTATGGCTGTAAATTGGTCCTCCATTCTGGAAAGCAATTTGGAATTACACTCCCAAAGGCACCAAACTGTGCATGCTTTTTGACCCCAAAGATAACGCTACTAGACTTATACTTCAAAGAAATCAAAGAAAGAGGGAAAAGTCCCAGATGTATAAAAATATTTATAACTGCTGTTTTTGTATTGGCAAAGAACTGGAAAGTAAGGAAAGTGCCTAGGAATTTAATGGAATATTATTTTGTCATAAGAAACTATGGAAGGAATAGTTTCAGAGAAACCTGGGAACACTGATATGAACTGATGCAGAGTGAAATGAGGAGAAATAGCAGAAAAAATATATAGAATAATCATTACAATGTAAAGAAAAACAGCTTTGAAAGACTTAAGAAGACTAATCAACATAATGATCATCCATGATTTCAGAGTACAAATGATGGAGCATGCAACTCACCTCCTAACAGAAAAGTGATAGAATGGATCCAAGATGCATGTTTGGACATGGCGAATTTGGGAATTTGTTTTCTTTGATTTTGCATATTTGTTGCAAGGGCCTTTCTTTTTCTTTTTCCCTTTCATTGAGGATGGTGGAGGTGGAAGGTAGAAGAGAACTAAGGGTAGGGTTTCCCCAGAATAAGAAGAGAACAGAAGAAAAACCAGATAAGCAGGATAGCTTTGAAAGTTACATGTTGAATTTGTTATATACTTTAAAAGAAAAACAAGCTCTATGTAATAAAGGCTCACAGTTTCATGTATAATCTCTTCCTGTTCTATAGTATATATGAAAATGTTCATTTATTTGGTGTTTGTTAAGTTTAGAATTTTTTTTGAATTCTGGAAAAGAACATGATCTTGAACAAATCATTTCATCTTTTGGGGACTACAGTTTCTTCCCCTATAATGGGTGGGAGGAGAAGGAAGGATGGAAGTTGGCCTTCATGAACTCTAAGTTATTTCTAGTTAAGACACTATATTTGAAAACATATAGAGATCATGGATCTGACCCTCTAAGGTCCCTTCCATCTCTGATTCCATAAGAGATTATGACCCTAAAATCCCCAGGCCTGTACCTATAGGATCATGGATCATTGTATATTTAGAACTAGAAGGTATCTTAGAGATCAATTCTAATTCCTTCATTTTAGAGCTAAGGAGCCTGGAACTGGGAGAGGCTGATTTGCCCAGGTCACAACAGCTACTAAGTGTCTGAGGCAGGATTTGAACTTGGGTCTTCCTGACTTTAAGCCTACAGCTCTATCCATAAGAATGTGTTTAGATTTATAGGGAGGCCCCGCTGAGTGTTAGAAGTGTCAAGTGCCAGAAAGGGAGGGCTTTGTCCAACACAACCAAACAACCTTTGCAGTTTTATATAAACTGAGTGATTAATCCCAACATACATAGTGTGTGCCAAAATTAAGGTTGTACCATGCTTTCATCTTCGTGTATATATGTGTGTGTGTGTGTGTGGTGGGTGGGTGTGTGTGGGAGAAAAGGGAAAAGGAAGAGGTTGGGGAGAGAAAATCAAAGGAGAGAATGAAAAAGAAACAGTGGGGGAAAGGGAGGTACAGGGAATAAAGGAGGAACATAGAGGTGGCTGCTGAGGAAGTGGGGAGTGGGGGAAGGTTGGGGAGGTAGCTGGTGTGCTGGGTGTTTTCAGGACTGTGTGCTTATATCTCTGGGAAGAAAATGACTTTGAGAAATTCACTGCACTGATTCATCTTATAGCAGTAATTGCCAAAAAGAAAGGGGGGGGGGGGAAAGGGGATGTGGTCAAGTACCTCCACCATCATAGATAGATCCAAGCACTTCTCCTGGCTCCAGGGTTGGCTCCTGGAGATTATCGTGTGGTTCTAAAATAAGCCATAGTCCTGCCCCATACGACAATTCCATAAATAAAGTTCTCCCCTATCTCTTCCTCCTTCTGCTCCCTCCCTACCCCATCTCAAAGAGTGACTGATTTGGAATCCAAGAACCTGGATTCCAATTCCGCAAGTCACTTCTCCTTAACTGGGGCTTAGTTTCCTCAGCTGAAAAATAAGGGGTTTGGCCCAAGTGGTCTCCAAAGTCCCTGCCGTCTCTAAGTTCCACGTTCCTCAAGATCCTGACCCACAAGATATCTCCAGATCTGCTTTAGCCCTTCCCCTCCTCGGAGTAAAGGGGAACCCAGGCTCAAGGTTTGCTTCAAAGCAAATCAGGCTCCCCATTGTCAATTCAAATCCTTGCCCTGCCCTTGCCCCTTCTTAGCATCTCAATGGCATCAGCCTAAGCAGCACCCCTCTTCCTCTACCACCACCTCTAAGGAAAGGGGGAATCCTCGTCTGGGGAGGGGGATCAGGATGGAGAGCAAGCATGCCCAAGGGAACTCCTATTAGACCTGAAATCCTTGGGTGGAAGCTGGGGAGCAAAAGGTCTTAGACTTTACAGATAGGATTGGTATAACTAGTTCAGCCCCTTATTTTACAGATAAGAAACTGAGGTCCAGAGACTTGAAGAAATTTGCCTAAGGTCACACTTTCCCTTCCTAGCTAAGATTTTTGATTTCCCCTTGCCAAGGGCCCTCTCCCCTACTTCCCCTGCCCCCCACGACCCCAGCCAGAGTTTTCCCCTCCTTCCCAAGCCCAAGCCCCGCCAGGGTGACCACTCCTTCAGCTGCCCCCTAGGCCAGAGCAATTTGTCTCCCTTTGAACCCTGCCCCCTCCCGGGTCTTCCCCTCTTTGATTCCGGGACTCTGAGCTTTCCTCGGCTTTGAAATGCAAACCCGCCTTTCCAAGCAAAGGGCCCAGGAGGCCAGGCCCTATAAAAGGTCGGGGTGGTGCCTCACCGGCTGGGGGCGAGTAAGTTCAGGTGAACAGTTAATCCGGAAAGCGCTGGGGCCAGGTCAGAGGCTGGGACTGGGGCCGGGGCTGGAGCCAAGGGAGCATTGGAAGGTAGCAGCAGTGCCCAGCATGCGCCGGGGGCTTCCTACCAAAGATGTACGTGGGTTATCTGCTCGAGAAGGATGCCAACATGTACCCCAACCCCGTCCGGCACCCGGGGCTCAACCTCAGCCCCCAGAGCTATGTGCCTTCTGCGCCTCCAACTCAGTACTCGGACTTTTCTGGCTACCAACATGTCCAGGGGATTAACAGCGACCCTCCCCATGGACTGGCTGGGGCAGCCTGGTCTTCACCCTACCCCCCAGCCAAGGATGACTGGACTACCTACGGGCCAGGTCCCACGGCTCCTACTGCCAGCCCGGCCCAGATCAGCTACAGTCCCGCAGACTTCGGTGCTATCCAGGCTCCCCCGGGCTCTGGCATAGGCCTCCTGCCATCCTCCCTGAGCACCCCAGGGGCACCACTTTCACCCAGCACGCAGAGGCGCACACCCTACGAGTGGATGCGGCGCAGTGGGTCAGCGGGCCACAGCAGCGGTAAGATGGCCCCTTTGCACCCTGTGCCTGCACCCCTTCCCACCATCCTCGGGGCTGGGTGACACCCAGAGCTGACTAGAGCTAAGAAGTAGTGATGGGTCAGACTCTGGAGGTCTGAAGTGAGAAGATTAGCAGAGTGGCGGGCTAGGGTGGCAAGGATTGCTATCCCCCATTTTACAGATGAGGAAACTGAGGCACTGAGAGGTTAAGTGTCTTAACCAAGGTCATCTACATAGTAAATAAGTGACAGAACCGGGATTAGAATCCATGTCTATAGTTTTCTATCCAGCTTTTTACCCCTTCTACCAGGCTGCCTCTTTTAAAAGATTATCACCAGGCACACCCTGCTCGTTTACCTACCTTCTCTGCCTTCAGATCTTAGGCTAAGTAAGCTCCTTGGGGGCCCCACTCTGGCTGCGTAGTTGCAATAAACTGTTGGTTCTGATCCCCACCTCCACCTTCACTCCTTAGCACCTGAACTTAGCAGCACCCAGCCCAGAAACAGGTGCTTTATAGAAAGTGGACCAGCAGCCACAAATGAGCCCTGGGCTTCTCTTAGCTGGTTCTGGCCATCTTCATGTCTTGGGGAGTTCAGTGGAATCTCATGTCTGTCTGCCAGGGATCGAAGCTTTCTCGGCCAACTAGGCCAAGACCCCTGCAAAATGTTAGGAGGAAGGGAGCCCAAGTTGGGCTGCAATCCCCCAACTCTCAATTATTTTACAGACCTCTCACTTACTTCGCCAACCCCCCTACACACACACACACACACACACACACACACACACACACACGTCTTATTTTCACCCACCTTCCTGAAGGCTTTTGCCTATATCTTGATCCTTTGACTCAGCCTCATGAAAGGAGACTTTGAAGGCAGAGCCCATCCTCTATTATTCATCTTTTTATTTTCTTCATTTGTTAAGTGGGGTCAGAAGTTTATTTGAATCCAGTTCAATCCCCTCTTTCCACTACATTTTGTCTCTCATCTTATTTGTGTACCTCTTTCCTTCCTGGAAAGCTGTGGCTGAAGGGTCCAAGGGCCTGGACCCGAAAGCCATTTTCCACTTGGGGAGTTGAGGGCCAGAGAGTTCATCCATGGGCCTTGGCACCAGATGGCACTTTCTAGTCTTCCCCCTAAACCCTCTCCTCCTCAGTGCCAGGGTGGGGTTCTGACCATTGTCTGAACTCTTGACCTCCCCGAGGGGAGGGAAAGCTGGTGGGAAAGTGGAAACCCAAGGGAAGCTGGTGGGCATCTCTCCTCTCCACCCCTAGGACTGCCTCTGATCCCCTTTCTTCAAAGGCTCAGGGATCGAAGAGGACAAAGACCAAGACTTTAATGAGGGAAAGGCAAGTGCCTTTCTAAGGGTTCCCCTTTGTCATGTAAACAGGGCACGCCTGGCCCATGGGGGGACTCCTGTTTGCGGGAAGGTGAGGGGGGCATCCCATTGTCCAGACCTTGTCCCTGACAAAAGCTGCCTGGATTTGGGGGCGGGGGAACATGGCCTGCCTGGGAGGCTTTGATGTAGCCCGCTACCTCTGGCTGCTCCCAAAGTTGTGGCAGCAGATTCTCCTCTACTTCCCTTTTCTCCCACCTAAGCCTCAGGGCAGGTGCTAGGTAGCAGCAGGGTGGGGGAAATTCCTTGGTGACTTAGGAGTCATGAAGGTCACTGCCTCTAAGCCCTACTACTACTCCTGGACATCTTCCACAAGCTTCTTTTGGCTATTCCACACCCAATACCAGGCCTTGATGAACAAATATGGTCCCTCCCTCCCTCCCTCCCCCCCTCCCCCTTCCCCAGCACCTTGACTCCTCATTCGGGGTCCTGGAGCACAAGAACAGTCCAGTTTCTTGGGGGAAGAGGGTCCTGTGCCCAGGCAGTCTCTCTCTCACTGTTCCCTCTCCTCCATTCCAATTTGGCTCTGCCAGAGCCCTCTGCAGGGGATTTCAGTCACTCCATCTTTTTGAGTGAATGTTAACTGGACCACCCTCACTCATTAGAATTTCTAAGAGACAGCTGGGGTAGGAGAAGGAAGGCTGGGGTTTGGAGGCACCAGTGGACCTGGGTTTGAAGCCAGTTCTGCTGCCTGATGTCTGAGTGATTTGGGGCAAGTTACTCAATCTTTCATGCTTCAGTTACCTCACCTAGAAAATAAAGAGGTTAGACTAGATTTCCAAAGTCCTTTGTAGCTCTAGGTCCTGTGACCCAGCTACCCAAATCCTGCCTTCAGCTTTCTTCCCAGGGCAGTAGAGTAGGAAGAGTATGGGACTAAGAATCAGGAGAGTAGGCTCCTTTCCTAATTCTGTCATTGACTTATTAACCTCCGTCTGCCTCGGTTTCCTCAACTGGAAAATGGGCACCTACCTCTCAAGGTTTCAGTGAGAATCAAATGAGATATTTGTAAAGTACTTAGCACAGTGCCTGAACATAGTAGGTGCTATGTAAATGCTAGCCATTATCATAATCATCATCATTGTTTATGTGACTTTGGGTCATTTCCCTTCTCTTGGCCATCTCTAACACGAGAGTGTTATACTAGGTAACCTCTAGCTGGAGAAGGTTTCTGAAATGTGGGATTTTAGTGAGGGAAGAGATATTTAAAATGGTCTCTTTCATTTTGTCCCCAGAAAGAGAAACTGAAGCACAAAGGAGGGAGGCTTGGAATAAAGCAGGTGTATCTGGTCCCTTCCAACTGTTTTGGATTCCTTTACTAAAGCTGAGGAAGTTGCCTATGAGATAGTAAACTTCAAAGAAAATCCTTGCTCAGGTTATCAAAGCGGGTGCTTTCTTTCTCTGCTGCCTCTAATCATGGGGGATGGGGGAGGCACTAGCAGGTCAGAGGGTACACAAGCAGATTATCTGAATAGTGCAACCTCCATGCCTTACTTTTTCCAGCTGTAAAGTGGGAAGAGGCAATACCATGTAGTGTATGCAGAGTCTTGGCCTCAGCAAGATCGGCATTCAAACATAGCCTTTGGCACAAACCAATGACATTTCTCAAACCTTCAACACTTCTCAGTGTTCAAGACTAAGCTCCTATCAGCATTGGTGGAGAGAGTTTCCATACATGGAATTCCTTATGCCAATGAAATCACAGTCCCAAACCAGAAGAAAAAAGAAAAGTAGGGAGAATTGTCCTCAGCTCTCAAGAGTATTAGAAGAGGGAAAAGTAAATGGGGACATTTGGGTAATAATAATTGGCATTTATATAGCAGCTTTAAGGCTGTTGTATATGTATATGTATGTGTATGTGTGTACAGATATATATGTATATATAATCCCTATATTTTCATATATATGAAATTTCATCCTCAAGACATAGCTATGAGGTAAATACTATTATTGTCCCCATTTTTTAGATGAGGAAACTGAGGTTCAGAGAAGTTAAGTGACTGCCTAAGATCATACAGATGGCAAGAAACAGAGCTGGGGTTTGAATCTAGGTCCTCTTGCCCTAAATACAGTTCTCTTTCCACTATCCCAGGCTTTCACTGAGCTGTAAAACAGAAATAATAATGCTTACAAACCTACTTTATAGAGCCCTTCACAGAGAAAAACCTTGTGAACTTTAGAACTCTGTAGCTGGAGTATCCAAAATATTTGGATAACTATTTCAGTATAATTGATTTCTTTTGTGATCCTATGTATTTTATGCATTTAAAAACATTATTCTGAGAAGGAATCCATAGGCTTTACCAGACTGCCAAAAGATTCTATAACACAAAAAAGTGTAATAGCAATGTGATAATTATTATTGTTATTGTTATTATTATTATTATTATTATTATTGAATGTGACACTTTGGGAGATGAAGAAAGGGGAGGGTGAACATATCTTGGGGACAAGGATCCCTTGCCCAGGTCCCTTTTGCCCTAAGAGACAACCTGCTGCCTGATCTGTCTAGTCAGGGTTCGATTCTTGGATGGAAGCTTAATGAACCTTAATGGGCCTTGAGTTTGGGGAATTTTCTTTGTCTAGGAGATTGGCAGCAGAAGGCCCAGCTGTCCCAGTTTCCCCATTCTGACATACCTGAGCACTTTTGCCATCCTTCCTATGTCCAGGCCATCCACCAGTTACATGGACCCCCATAGAAACTGGGTAAGTCAGGCCCTCTTCTTCCTCATCTGCAAAATGAGAAAGGATCATTAGATGGCCTTTAAGGTACCTTCCAGCTCACAACCCTACTCTCCTATGTCCTTTCAGTGAGAATTTCATGCCTTTCTCCGACCTACACACCTTTTCTCGGCTCCTGATCAGACATACCTAACTTCCCCATGGTGCCTAATACTACCAAGCTTGTGGAACGTTAAAACACTTTCTTTATTGTAAGCAAGAAATCAGCATAAATTAGTTCATACAGGGGCAGCTAGGTGGTGCAGGGGGTAGAGCAGCAGCCCTGGAGTCAGGAGGACCTGAGTTTGAATTCAGCCTGTGTGACACTGGACAAGTCACTTAACCCCCATTGACTCCAAAAAAAAAAAAAAACCAATGTGTACAGCTTTAGTCAGCTCAGTATGATTAGTCGATTCATTTAACTGAAACACAGAAAGAAAATTGTTCTCAGAGATCAGGAAGACCTGAGTTCAAGTCCTTCTGATGTAAACCTGTTGTGAGGCCCTGAACAAAGCATTAACCTATTGGTGCCCCAAGCAGGTCTCTTAGACGGTGGCGTGAAACCCAAAGTGAAATGGATCCCTGTAGGCCCATATTGACTTAGAAAACCACAAATTAACATGATCTGTCTTGTGTTACATTCTTATTTATTTTGTTAGAAAATTTGCCAATTACATTTCAGCCTGGTTCTGGTCTTACTCGGGCATTGAGTTTGATACTTCTGTCTTAGACCATAAGTTACAAACAAGCTGCAAATCTACAGCTGTGGGCACAGTTTCCACCCTAGGAATTTCTACACAGTAAAATAATAGGTCTACTCTACCCCCCAATCCCACACCCATGGCAGCCAGGTGGTACAATGGATAGCGTACTGGGCCTGGAGTCAGG